ACGGGCAGAACGTATTCAGCGTGTTCGAGGCTGGAAAAGGCGACTGTTGGTCAAATGGAAGGGGTTTGCAGAACCTAACTGGGAGGATTGCTCGGAACTCGAAAACGTAAAAGCCCTAGATGAGTTTGAAGCCAAGTACGGAACTGGAGACGGAGTCGGAGAAGATGAAGGGGCAAGGCAGGGTCGACATAAGCAACGCAAGGAAAAAAAAAAAAAGAACAAAAACACGTTGAAAAGGGGTGATGTTACGGGCTAGGCCCGGCTGGGTTCTGGCTGGGCTATTTAAGGCTATAGGGCCCATCCTTATCTTGAAGGCTCAAGCTAGTTTGTAAATCTTTTCACTATACGGGAATATTATCAGATCACGTGTAAAGGGCAAGGGTATCTGGAACATGCATTATAGTTATAAAGAGCCATAGCTTCCCGCTCGTAATTTCCTCATAGCAAATATAAACATTTAATTGTGGCATTGCTTTTGTGCATTGGCCGAAAGTCCTAGCCCGTCACACAATGTTCCCATAGTTGTAAAGTATTAAGTCTTCTTTACTTCATCCTATATATCCATCCAATATTGTATAGAGTATATTTTCCAACACTACCCATGACTGATATGGGGCTCCAAGTCGGCTTTTCCCATGTGAGCGAACTTTTACCAGGACAGCCTTGGTGACCCTGACTATCTCGTCAGCCACCATCTTTTCCGTAATGAGAACTGTTGAAAGTCATGCAATAAATCTGTGATTTTATCACGTATCTCGCATAGGATTCCAAACTTTCTGTAATTGTGAAGTGTGTAGATAATTGTAAGAACAAGTAAAGAAGCACCAATAGTTGTAGTAATAATACACACAATAAATTATATATATTTATATTATAAGGAATCTGATTTCGAGAGCAAGTATCCACACGCAGCTGAATATAAAGCTGGTATGCAGTATACTCTTAACTCCACTGACACATAAATTACAACAAGAACTTTGACCATTATAGTGTTAGTTGCGACTGGGACCGTCGCTATTCTGAGGGAAGCTAAGTTCGAGGCTTTCTCCAATATTGCATCCTGCTGGGCGAAGGATCTAGCTAGGCTTAGCATCAGCGCCCGTGCCTCCTGGTTTTCGGCTCTGGTTGCAAAGCCAGTTGTGTTGTGCTGGTGATGGCTAGGATTACGATGCACAAGGGTAATGATCACTGAGGGTGAAGGAAGAACTTTGCAGGTGGCTCCATGATGAGTAGAGGAACAATGGAGCACTGTATAGAAAGTGTTTCTAGATTATACTACCAGATGGAGGAGACTAGAATATTCCGTGGTACTGTTTTGGGTAAATAAGGCGATAGTCTAGCTACCTTTGATGTGTTTATAATTAGCTCTTTCTAACTCCTAAATCCTCATGGTTCTGAATATCAAATATATATGCAGTTCACATTGATTCATCGATAATCATCCGTAAACCTTCTGCCAATTAACCTCCGTAAGCTCTTACCTTTACATCAAGTTAGCATACGGTAGAAATGCTCAATTTTTGTTTGGGGGATTTCGAGCATTTGCGTAATTGCTCCTCTAACCCCGAAAGGTGAGAGTGTTCGCCAGGGGTGTTCTTTTTCGAGGCGGAGAAACAAAAGGTTCGTCTTGCAAGGCCGGTTTTGTTGGTACGGTTGAATTTTGGGCCGTTAGCGTGGAGGTTGCCGCCTTGGGCATTGTCTGCGTGACATTTGTTGGTGTCGGGAGCGTCTGTAGGCCATTACGGGTGATCGAGGCCCAAGTGGTTTTGGCCTGGCGCACTTCGGCTTGAATCGCTTTTTTTTTTTTTTTTTTTTTTTTGCATCAGATTTGAATTGCGTATGCAGCTATCTAGCTATGACACAATATCAAAGAAAAGTACAGAAAAGATGACTCAATTTACAAGAAGAGCACTCATGCCTCAAATTTCATTTGCAAGTACCACTGCGAAGTTATGGTGGCTTTGAATCGCTTCGCGTTGTGTTGAAAATAAACTAAGAATATGCAGAGCTTTTCGAGTGATCACGGATAAATAACGAAGTATATACTTCAAAGGGTATCCGTAGATGTGAATTATGTTTATAGTAAAGGCTTGATCGAAACTCTTAATCTTTACTAAAGGATATGAGAATGTCTATATGCATTGATATCTGGCAATGACATAGGCCAGAGTGTAATGCCTTATTACGGGATACGACGGAACAAACTATAGATCTGATACCAGTTACGCCTATTCTCGTTGCAGTCTCGAATATCAGACGTAACAAAAGATGATGGTGTAACTAGTAGTGGATAGGCAACACCCGACAATCTTGATGGACACATACTGAAACCATAAGCACGGGGAGTGTCTAGGTTGGTTTCGCAATACTTTGCGGCACACTTTTCTTGCCAGCAGCACATTCTGCGGTCTTGCAACTAGTAGCCTGGCTTTCCGGGCGTGGGGGAAGTGATGGGAGGACTGTACCCGGTCCCGATATCATGAATTGAGCTATTGCAGCTCTAATGTAGACTTTCATGGAGTCTATAAATTGAACCATCGACCCTTTGAATAGGGGGGAGAGAGCATTCTCGACACCGTTTATTGCAGTGGTGCAAATTTTTACATTTTCCGCAGTTTTTGCGGCCCGGCGTTCCTCAGCCTCAATTAAGGCTCTGAGTTCGGGGGGGCATTTCTCCGCCTGCCTGCCTTCATTTCCACCGTGAGGTAAAGGATTCTCTTCTGTGGTCCCTGGTGTATGTTCCAGGGGGTTTGGGGTAGATGCTGCACCTTTTGCCTTGTTAACATCTGCAATCGCAGCCCGCCTCATAGCCGGCACAGAGACTTCAATGAGAGGAAGTATGTGCTGCCCGGTAGTCGCTGTCCCTAAAATGTTGCGACTCGTCGCTGCATTTCCAGCTCCGGTCGCATCTGGCTTGGAGTGAATTGAGTTAGGTAGTCTTTTCAGATCCTTAAGAATCTTGTCAATATCAAAGCTGCCAACATCTATCATATCGTAATCTATGGTACTTTCGTCGATCAACTGGTCGGTGTTCATCTCTTGAACGGCAGTCAGTGGGCCCATCTTGTCGCTTGCTTTCCGTCGAGCGACGTGTTTGACGTGCTTGCGATTATGTACGATGTCTTTCGCCCGCGATGGCTTACTGCGAACTGGAAGCATATTGGTAGCCTACCAGTCGCTCACAAATTTCGAATTAAGGACGAACGATATCGCGATATCGAGAGAGGGAGGGAGAGGGATAATCGAAAATTCGAATTTCAAAAAATTATGTGTGTATGTGTTTTTTATTGTACTACTTGAGTCTATGACTATCTAGCACATTGGGCTCCTCTCTGACCCAGGCCACACCTTGTACAGTGCTCCTATCCTCTTTTGTTACTTGAAAGATCATTGATATATTACCCTCGATGAATAGCCATTCAGCTCAGTATTTACCCGTGGAATTCGGCCACCTTTTCCACGAAACCTTCTACCCAAAAAAAAAGAAAAAAAAATGTAAAAAAAAGGTTTGCAATGGAAACTGCGTGCGCGGGAAAAAGTCTCAAAAAACCTGCAGCCCCAGCCAGGCGAGGCCTAGACACCGGGACCACATGAGGTGCGCATATTCATCTATATCTCCCTTCTTTGTAACAGTTGAGGCTGACTTGATCCAATCCGCCATCTCCGTATCCGGTGCTGGGTACGTTCCGGAAACTCATCGGATGGCTTTTATTCCATGATCAAGGGTTGGTGATGAGTAGGGCTCCGACCCTACCATCTGATCTGATCGTGGTTAGCTTCATGATAGAGGTGATAGGGGAATGTGTTGAGAGATGAAGACGATGCAGACAGCAAAAGCGATTGGGAAATCTCATCGAAGTTTGGATAAAAGTGTTACTTAAACTCGGCTCTGCAGACTCTACAGTGAGAGCTGGAGGTTCGTAGGGGACACCACTGACAGGTGTTGAGGATAGTCCCCCTGTAGCTGACACTATAAAAACAAGCCAACGATGGAAGGTGTTGTGATCCGCCTCCTGGTGATGTTCTCTGGTATAGTTTGAGTAGCCTGGGCACCTACTCCACTTGGGAAGGAGACATCTCAGATTACATTTCGCGCGGAGAAAATTTGATGGATGACGGAGGCATGTCTGGATAACTCAGGGTTTTTGAGATGTTCCCTGGAGTGGTTATTCACGGATGAGGGTTAACTTGGGGTGAAGAAAAAGCCATCATAACTTCGCAGTGGTACTAGCAAATGAAATCCGAGGAATGAGTTCTCTTCTTGTAAATTGTGTCATTTATGATACACTTCTCTGATATTGTGTCGTACCTAGATAGCTGCATACGAAACTGAAATCTGATGCAAAAAATTACAAAAAGAAATAGAACAGAATAAGATTCAGTGTTTGTTTCTTCTTTGTGCAGGGGCTGTCATTCATGAAGCGCAAGCTCCGCTGTTTGTCTCTCGGATGAAAACTTGGAACACATATTCTTAGGGCACTGGGTGTTAACGATGTGGCGTACCGTGGGCTACTGGTAATGACAGGGTGTTACACCTCTTTTATTAACAGCGTTTGTAGTTGAGTTCGCACGTGTGAAATTCGGTCTCGACAGCTAGGAGCATATTTCTCATGTTTACAAGTCATGCTGTGTTGGAATTTTCGCTATTTAGTTGTTCTGTCACTGGACTACGATTATTTACTGCTAATACCGATTTCTATGGAGATTTTGGGAGTTGGATTTCATGGAAGTTTGGCTGATGCCAGCGGTCCATTCAGGATCTGCCTTGTCTTATTCAAAACATCTGTGTCTAAGAAAAGTATTGATTGCTTGCATTATTTGAAAATGCTTTGGACACAATAGTTTCGTGTCGTCAGAGGATTGTTCATCACATAACATAATATGAAAAGATAGCCTTTGCTGCAAAGGGAGATAAAGTATTTTGAATACAGATCATTTAATCTTTTGTCCCATTTTGATGTATCCTCCTGCCCAAACTATTGGCTGTGTGCGTAACCTTTCTATAAATCGATCGCACCTGATCTATCCAAGTATATGTCTTGGTCTTCGTCGTTGTTGAGGCTATATGCAGATTTAACACATATTATCTGGTTACCTGCTGGCTCGTAAAGCTCAATGTAAATATCGTTAGATTTCTAGCTCTTGTTAGATTCAGGATTCAAGTGTACTTTAGTTTCTCAAAGTTTTACTGACCACGATTGGAAGACTCCCGACCATGAATTCGAACTCCATATGAAAAGGTCCACTTTCAGAGGGACATGAATAGCCGACGCTCTCTAGAAAGGGACAGATCAAAATCTGTTGCGAGTTCAGTTGTTCACCGGTTACTACATCTCTGAGTAGGACATATGAGTTAGGATCAATTGGTTTGAGAAATATTCCGGATATTGAAATTTCAGTAGAATCTTCGCTGATATAATTAGATGTTAGCACCTTCCCCTGGATTGTTTTGTGATAGGCTTACGCGGTAGGAATTCCTGGAAATACGTCAAGATTAGTAATTGAAATGCTGCTGTCAATATCTTCATCCGTGCAGTAGTACACTAGGTTAGCTCCAGGTAACATCTCATCGGAAGGGTTTGAAATGAACGAGGCCGATATTTGCTGACCCTTCTTCATGCAATGCGCTGCAGCAATTGTGCTGATCGCCAATGTCGCAAGAGTATTCAAAAACTTCATGTTGATAGATGGTAGGTTCAGGAGCAGAAGAGTTGAATAATGACACGAGCAGCAAAGTCTCAGTTTATAATCTTCGTAGCTTGCTACCTCGGGCTCGGATATAAACTACTGGCGCCAATTACATCACTCTAACTATTATGATTCATCTGTCGGAATGAGCTAGGTCCGATGTTCGAATCACATCTAAGACCTGACCAGTTACCAGGTCTGATCATTTTAGTTATTGTGATTGTCGTAAAGCCGGTGTATGCATCTAGATGGACCCGACCTATCTCCACAGCCATTACAGGCTACTGTGAATTCCCAATATAATTGGTCAACGGAGTTTACGCACCGCTGTAATTAAGCAACTTTAAGGGCCATACTATTTTGAGACTTTGATCTACATCGTTAAAAGATCAGCTATAATCCATCATAATTTGTTTTTTCAAATGTGGTCATGATTAGCAACGTCCAACAAACTTCATCATGTTGATCACTGCGACCAAATTCAGTAAGACACCGATTTACCATCGAGGTCCATGCAAGTGATGGAGGGATCTTTCAAACGTCTCTTGCGGGCTGCTCATTTCTAGAGATGACTGGATTGTAATTAAGTAAGGCAGAAACATACAGCCAGCGCTGGGCTGTGGTTGAAGAAATTCAACTTTTTATTTGAATCTTCATCATCAGTTCACGTACGTTTGACGTTAGTCTTGAACCTGTTTTGACGTGTGCGGAAGGCTCAGACCAAGTATTTATTTATTTTTAAGGTCAACTAGGATTAAGCTACAACTACAGCCCTATCCCTGAGAGGACATGATCATCAAGCCAAGAGCCAGGATACTGCTAGCTCATTGGACAAGACTTTGGGCTATGTTGTGATTTGTGTCAACTTTGTGATGGGAGCATGGCTATATGGTGCAGTCGCATGCCATTCGGGCCATGCTCTCTCAAGTAGACCCTTGGTGGATTGGATACTTACACCATTTGAGGTAGGAGAGAGTTGGTTCGAATCCAGTAAAACCAACACCAATATCTCTCGTGTTTTTATCGTATTATATATATATATATAACTCTTTATCCTGATTTGGCGCCTTGAGGCCCGGCAGATTTTTATCGGAAGATATGCACTTTAAGTAGGATGGCTCAATTTGATATTTAGAACACTCACACTCGGGGGACTTTTCTCAACACCTGTCAGTGGTGTCCCCTACGAACCTCCAGCTCTCACTGTAGAGTCTGCAGAGCCGAGTTTAAGTAACACTTTTATCCAAACTTCGATGAGATTTCCCAATCGCTTTTGCTGTCTGCATCGTCTTCATCTCTCAACACATTCCCCTATCACCTCTATCATGAAGCTAACCACGATCAGATCAGATGGTAGGGTCGGAGCCCTACTCATCACCAACCCTTGATCATGGAATAAAAGCCATCCGATGAGTTTCCGGAACGTACCCAGCACCGGATACGGAGATGGCGGATTGGATCAAGTCAGCCTCAACTGTTACAAAGAAGGGAGATATAGATGAATATGCGCACCTCATGTGGTCCCGGTGTCTAGGCCTCGCCTGGCTGGGGCTGCAGGTTTTTTGAGACTTTTTCCCGCGCACGCAGTTTCCATTGCAAACCTTTTTTTTACATTTTTTTTTCTTTTTTTTTGGGTAGAAGGTTTCGTGGAAAAGGTGGCCGAATTCCACGGGTAAATACTGAGCTGAATGGCTATTCATCGAGGGTAATATATCAATGATCTTTCAAGTAACAAAAGAGGATAGGAGCACTGTACAAGGTGTGGCCTGGGTCAGAGAGGAGCCCAATGTGCTAGATAGTCATAGACTCAAGTAGTACAATAAACAACCACACACAAAACACACACAATAGTGTCAACTACACTTTCGCAAGCGAAGTCTTTTTTTTTTTTTTAATACATTTGGTCCTAAGTTAACACTATCTTTTCCACATTGGGTCAAGGACCGGTGGAGCCGGCAAGGATCACTGCGTACAGGCCCAACTCATTCCAACCGCATGATCTTCTACTGAAATTGTAGAAGTTAACAGCAAAACTAAAATCAAAAACATAAATCAAAAACTGAAATCAAATTTGGAAGAAATACTGTTTGGTCCGGATCCCGCGCTTCTCGCCCGTTCCCTTTCCTGCCACATCTTCCACGTGACTTTTTCTTATCTCCGCTGAGAGCGAAAGATTAGTTCGCAGATAACCTGAATTCAGCTGGTATCCTGCCATATATTTTGAAGCTATCTGTAGACTTCAACGAGGGTTGCTGTACCCTCAAAAGCGAAGTCTTGACGCGCACAAAGCTCATTTCGTAAAACTCTTACCAAAATTCGAAATTTCACGCCCGTCGAGTATGTTTCCCTCTTCTGCATCATCTTGTAAACTTGTCCTGATCCCTCCCACATCCATCCCAAAGAACAGTCTCCCAGATTTGTGCGCCACGCTTTGCTTCCTCCGTCGGGTGTAAGTATCGGCGTGGGCGTGTATTTGGTGACCAACTGAGGTCAGAGAAAGTAGATGAGAGGTGTGGTCATTGGAATGAGGATGTACTAGGAGGGCAAGACTGAACACCTGTACGCGGTGTCCTCTACGAACCTGGAAGTGAAATATTCTCCCAGAGCCGAGTTCAGTCAAACTTCGCAATACCGAACAAGTTGGCCCACGAGGCAATGATTCAAAATACTCCACCATATCGATCTTTCACTCCCAACGAGATCGATTCCTACCTAAACCTCATCAAGTCTTCAAGTCCGACCTAGTACATCCTCATTCCAATGACCACACCTCTCATCTACTTTCTCTCACCTCAGTTGGTCACCAAATACACGCCCACGCCGATACTTACACCCGACGGAGGAAGCAAAGCGTGGCGCACAAATCTGGGAGACTGTTCTTTGGGATGGATGTGGGAGGGATCAGGACAAGTTTACAAGATGATGCAGAAGAGGGAAACATACTCGACGGGCGTGAAATTTCGAATTTTGGTAAGAGTTTTACGAAACGAGCTTTGTGCGCGTCAAGGCTTCGCCTGCGAGAGTGCAGCAGACACTATTAAAACAAGGCAACGATGGAAGGTGTTGTGATCCGCCTCCTGGTGGCGTTCTCAGGTATGTTTCGAGTAGCCTGGGTACCAACTTCACTTGGGAAGGAGACACCTAAGATCACATTTAGCGCGGAGGAAAGTTAATGGATGACGGAGGCATGTCTGGATAACTCAGGGTTTTGGAAACGTTCCCCTGTGTGGGTATTCACGGATGAAGGTTGACTTGGGGTTAGGGAAAAGCCACCATAACTTTGCAGTGGTACTTGCAAATGAAACCTGAGGCATGGGCGCTCTTCCCTTACGTTGAATCATCCATTCTGTAATTTTCTGTCACGGTTTCAGTATAAAATGCTTGGGCGATCTTGTAAGTACAGTATATTAATTATAATTCTCTGGAGAGAGGATTCCTCGATGTAAAGTCTACGTATATATATATATATATATATTCTAAATTACTGCCCTTCAAGATGATTCTCCCTGTGACCTGAATAATTGAGACGCTTCTACAACTACCTAGAAGGTTCTCGGTACACCTGTTATCCTCATGAACCTTCAGTGTGTTTCCAGAAGGTTGACTGAGAATATTCGAAGTTCTGTGGCTTCCGAGACCTTCCCCTTGTGCCATAGCCTACGCTGGCTAGCGTAGGCTACAGGAGTCTTTCGGCTTAACTGCCGTCACATTTTCTTTGGTATTGTGTCATAGCTAGATAGCTGCATACGTAATTCAAATCTGATGCAAAAAAAAAGGAAAAAAAGGGGTAGATGGGCTATGAAAGCTCATTGCTACTTACATGACCGGGATTAAAGCCAGAAGCAACATAAGAAATAAAACAAAAAAAAGAGTGTCCTGGGCTGTATCCCTATTTTCCAGCACATCCTCTCTCGAATTGGGAACGGTCTCAGCATGATCATCTCTCACCCTGTTCATTCTTCGGCAGACTGTAACACCTGCTTGTGGTTAGGAATTAGAAAAACTTCTGCCATCCCTTCTCCCCTATCATTTCCTTGGCCCCAGGCGGGGCCATTTTCTCATAGCTTCTCCAAAGTAGTAAAGCTGGTCGATACTCTGAAAAATGCCAAGGCCATTTCTCTCGGCCAAAAACGCATTTCAGATCTTCATGTTCGGGGTTGAAACGTCGATGGTGTTGAGCGGATTGGTTTGTAAAAGCTTGTGGCTGTTAGGCACAGATTATATCACTTGGTGAAGCGAGTGGGAAAGTAAAGGAGTCTGTAAATCTGTCGTGGAGAGTTGTTAATTACTCCTACTAGGACACAGAGTGCTATATAAACTATAGTTTGTAATAATAAAATCTAGTGGTTGGTATTTACGTCAAAGCGCATTAAAACTAACCTCACAATTAATGGGAGATTAGTGACGTGTATTCTTCACATCCCTGTCTTTACCATAATTGGAAGCACCAATTTCAACAGATGGTAGTCGGCGCAGTTCTCGTGGCCTGTTCTTGCCGCAATAAGACAAAGGTACGCCCATCTTTGTAAAGCTAGTTCCGGTGGTCTTTTGCAATGCATGAATAGGTCCAGATCTTTGTATCGCTTCTATCGATACTTCTGCCACCATTCTTCCACGAGCTCTTGGCTGGGCAGTTTAACCCACCTCCTTAATGCCGCAAAGGTTAGATCTTGATCTTCTCCACTAGGCACAGCTAAGGTTAGTGACTGGTTATTGGGAGCTCCCAAGGCTGATTCGGCCAGCTTATCGGCCTCTTCATTGCCTTGAATCCCGACTCGACAGGGTATCCAGCGTATTTCCACACGCATGTTTTGTCTCAGCAGTGAAAAGTTGTCCACCACTGCCTGCGAGGAACTAGATCTTCCTCTTTCGAGCGCCTGGGTGGCCGCTGGGCTGTCCAGAAGAATGCAGATCGGTAAGTCTTCTCCTACCTCTATTGAAGCGTTTAAGGCTTTTACGGCGCCTACAACTTCTGTGTCAAATACCTCTGC